ATGAATCCGCGTTTTACAAAACAAAGCAACAGCTCGATGTAGGCCTTTGCCGACCATAACAGGTTGCACCATTTTTGTGTTGAAAGTATTTACGCTATGGTAATGTAGGGACGTAGATGATCAACAAAAATAATAAGTCATTACTTTTATTATTTAATATTATATAAATAATTATATTTATTTGTTTATTTATCTATTATTATTTATTATTATTCTTACTTTTTAGAAATATTATAATGGAAAAGTATAAAACAAAGTAATGTAAATTTTTTATGAAAATATTATTAAACATAATTTTTGTCATAAAATTGGATCTTTTTTATGAAAAAAGTCCTTTTTCTGAAACACGGAGGTACTCAGAATTTATTTCCAATTATGAAAACCATTTTTGTCTTGAGAAAACGACGTTGATGTTTGCAATTTTTTTCTAACAATTTTTGAAGTAGATTATTAAATTTTCGTCTTTTTTCAATACATTGCAGCTTTTTTTTTTATTAAAAAAGGGCATTTTTTGACATTTATTTTTCTAAATAATTTCATATCATAATTTTTATTGATGAAAAATAGAAATACAGAAAAATTAAGATTAAATTTTGATCAGAAACTAAATAAGTAAACAAATAATTTTCCATATAGAAAAATTGAATAACAATGTTATTTTTAGAATTTTCAGTTTAAAAACAAAGGTTTTTTTCAAAACAATACTTCTATAGGTAATTATGAAAATCGTCGATTTCATTTGGAATTCTTTTCATGGATTTAAAAACATATTTTCTACCAAATTACGCGTGTGTTTCGAAATCCACCAATTTTTAAGAAAAATGATAATTGAAAAAGGGTCAAAATATTTTCTGTCCGCTTTTATTTTATGACCGTTGAATTCCTTATAAAAAATTACTTTAAAACTAATTTTGTGGAATATTTAAATTAGATTTTTCATATACTTAAAAATATCAATAATAAAAATAACCATTAAAAATTTTTAAAATTATACATTTCATAATTTTTTATTATTTACTTTTTTTTTGTTTAGAAATTTTATTTGTTTAATAATTTTTTCATAAAAAATTTTCCTTTATTGTTTTAATACTTTTCCATAATAATATTTTAAAAAAGTAAGTAAAATAATAAATAATAATAGATATAAAAACAATAATAAATAAATAAACAAATAATAAATGTAATAGTAAACAATGAGAGTATAATTGACATTTAATATTTTTGTTCCTTACGTTCATTTCTACTGTACTACGCAAACGGTGCAACCTGATATAGTCGGCCATGGCTAACCTCCCATATTGAGCTGTCAGTTTGCTATGTTTTGGAAAACGCGGATTGATATTCACGCCCATAGAAACATCTAATCGTCATAAGAAAACTTGTTGAATATTCTCTATTAAATATTATTTTTCCCTAAATCGCCCTTTTTTTCATTTTCAATCTGGATTTTTTTTAATTAATTATCAAAGTCAAAAAATTTCACCAAGAGGGACGAAAAGAGGGGAAAAGAGTGGAAGTTGAGGAGAAATCGCTCGCTACGCCTATGCGTACTTTTAAATATTTCCCACCGTGCAGCGTCCTTAAGACGTTTTCGAAGTAAGACACTTTGAATAAAACACATTTTCTGTATTCGAGTATCTTCGGTAATATTCGTCTTGCCTCGTCTCGATGAAAGTTTCCCGCGCAATATCAATGCATACATGAATTTTTAGGTTATGTATCGATTCAAGCAGAAATTTCATCTGAATGAAGACACTTTAAACGTCTCCAAAATAGTCACTTTTAACGTTGTAATGATTGGGTTTTTATTTGCTGGGAATTCGCTCGCCGGATGGAGTCCGGGTTCCCTTAAATATTAATTAAATAAATAATTAACCATAGTTAATGGCGTGAAGCGCCATCTAAGAATTGATTTGCTGTAATTTCGAGGAGAGGTGTAGTCAATAATGAGACAATTAATTAAACCTTCGTAAGATAAATATATTGTAACAAAATAAAGAATAAAAGGTTTAAAACAAAATTAACAAAGAAAAATGAAATAAGAATAAAATAAATGAAAAATAACAAAATAGTAACGTAGCCTAATATAAAGAATATAAAACAAAAGAACTAAAATATAAAATAATAATCGTTGTAAAAGAATAACAATAATAAAAAAATAATAATAACAAATGTCTCGCCTCGTGTCGCTTTACCCCGAAGTGACTTCCCCCTGACTTGCAGGTTTTACACCCAAGTTCTCTCGCCTGAAAATAAAATAAAATAAAAGAAACCATTGCTTAGCTAAGCTCAAGATATTGAATTTCCCTACGCGGAACTAATCTAGAATTCGCCCCATTGCCCAACGTGACAAACGCGACTAGTACGTGCACTCTGAGGGAGTGGCCTGACTGGTAACCGAGTGACCAACTCCAATGTCGGTACGCTGCCGACATTCTTGCTTGACGCGCAGGGGTTGCGAAAGGAAACTCAACGGACGACTTCTTATCCAGGGTGCTCCCTGAGGGAAGAAATCGTCTCCGTCGCTTAGCCTCAGGTGTAATATGAGCTCCTATATACACCTGGGGGGCAGAGTTTCAGGTTGCAGGTGTCACCCTTTACCACGAGGTCCTCTCGTGAGAGCTCCCGCAGGGAGGTCCAAGTAGTAGAGTGCATTGGTCTCCGCATCTTCTCGTGAGAGCTCCCGCAGGGAAGTCGCAGAGACCAGGTCGAGAGAATGAAGGTGTTCACCTTAGCATGGTTGCTCCCATAACCAGGTGTACTTAACCTTTCTCATCGATAGCTTCACCAAGAGCCCCTTGAGTGAAGGTATCGATGTATCAGGAGGAGTGAGTTCGAAGCTCCTTGCCCGAAGTGCTCCTCGAGGCGTCGAGCCGCGAACTGAAAATTGAGAATCGTGCAACGAGAGATATAGAAAGACGGCTGCCGAGAGAGCGGTGACGGTGCGGGAAGGGGAGTCAGCGACGCAAGGCTTGTGCGCGTACGTGTCTCTCCTTCACGCTGCCGAGTGCACTGGTACCGCTGCATTTTATATGCGCGTACGCTATCGTTACAACGTCTTCCTGAAAGACATCCCAAAACGTCTTAAAAATAAGGACAAAAGTGTCTCAAATATAGACACCTGTTTTTGCAGTGTTTGTATTAGAATTCTTGTCAATTTCATAGTTTATGAGGCGAACAAAATAGTCACTAAAATTCAGACTTTTCCTATAAATTATAAAAATTAAATTTTTTCTAGTACTTTTAGTAAAAATCCTTGACTTTTCCCTGACATATTCTACTTTCCCTGACTTTTCCCTAAATTCCTTGACTTCCCTGACTTGTGATAACTCTGTTACACATATTTAAATGTCCTGGAAAAATAAGAAATATGTCCTGAAAATGTCCTGGAATTTTAAGTCATATTTTCAATAGACACCTTGAAGCTTTTTCATCCTAAATAAAATTTTTTCCAAATAAAAAATCGGTAATAAAGCAGAAAGCTTTTTTTCGTGAATCCTTTTAGTTTTTGTAATTACATCCGCGAGTTCGTCATTTTCCTTTTTTTTTTTTTTTTTTTCTTTTTAAATGACTTTAAGCAAGGCCAACTGTCAGAACACACACATTTATATACCATCTAGATTTGCGTTTCTACAGAACGACTTTTAAGGTTAGGAGTACTCGCATTTGCCTGGACCACCCGTCTAATGGGTTTTCTCGCCAGTGGAGAGGGAAACTGTAGAAAACCTCTCCGAGTACAACTCCGAGTTCGTCATTTTCCTTAAAAGTTAAAACTGGAATCTCATTTCTCGGAGGGAAAATTTCTAAGTTCTATGTCCAAAAGACGTCCCGGGGACGTCAATTGGACATTCTACACAGCAATTTTTCAGTTAAGCTTTTTCATACTAAATAAAAATATTTTCAAACAAACTGTCGGTAATAAAGCAGAAAGCTTTTTTCGTAAATCCTTTTAGTTTTTTGTAATTACATCGAGTTTGTCATTTTCCTTAAAAGTTAATACTGGAATCTCATTTCTCGGAGGGAAAATTTCTAAGTTCTATGTCCAAAAGACGTCCCTAGGACGTTCCGGGGACGTCAATTGGACATTATACACAGCAATTTTTCAGTTAAGCTTTTTCATCTCAGCAAAAGAATTCGCACTTTTTTATTAGTAAAAACTACTATTTTAGATTTAGAAAGGAAATTTATTTATACATAAAACTGAATAATTTTAAATTAGAGGAGATAAGATAAACAGGGAAGAATGAAGAGAAAATAGGGAATTTTGTTGAACAAAAATAGTAGACACCCGTTTCAGAAAGAATCAGGTTTTTCTCCTTTTTTCTAGTCAATACAGTGGAACCTCGATTATCCGAACCGAAAATCATTTTATCCGAACTTCTGTTATCCGAACTTTTTTTCGGTCTCTCGAATCTTTCATAGGAAAATAACGAAATTTATGCCAGAAAAATCTTTAAAAATTCGGAATTCTATGTTTTATTAATATATTATTATGAATTAATATATATTTACATATATATACTTATGCATATTTATAAAAAAGTATTAAATTAAATATATATAGTCCAACTATCCAATTTTTTTACTTTAATTATGAAAAAAATTAAAATCTCTATTATCCGAACTTTCGATTATCCGAACCTAGCCTTGCCTAGGTTAGTTCGGATAATCAAGGTTTCACTGTACTTTTATTAAACAAAATATCTTCATATTGTGCTGTTATTTTGTTACACTAAAATACTTGTTATTTTAAATATTTGTTATACACTAAAATATCTTCATGTTTCTAAAATATTTAAATATCTAAAAAGTAATTAAACAAATTGGTAAAAATTTGAAATTTTAAAAATTCATGATTTTAATTTTTTGAAAATTGTCATGATCAAATTGGACAACAATTTTTAAAGAAAATTCTATTATATTCAGTGGTTTAAGTAGTTACTAGTAATACTAAAGATTGTGGAAATATTAGTCCGATTTGCCAACTATTACTTTTGAGCTTAGTACACTTAAGAAAATTTGCCCTATATACAAATGCACGTTTGCAATTTAACATTTGTATATATTTCAGAGAATTCAAGGCGAATCAAAGTTTGTCATCAGCGATGTGTCTGCTGTAAGTGTCATTATGATGTATTGCCATAGTAATGTAATATTATATTATATTACTATCTATATCACCTCTAATATTTATAAATGTTGGAGGTGTAGAAAGATCTTAAATCTCAATCAAGTAATTTCGAGCTCATTTATGATTTATTCATTTTTTTCAGATAATTGCGACTTAATGCAGGAAATAAGAAAGTCGTCAATAATTATACATAATGGTGTCAACCATATAATAAATTACCTCGAATCGGGACATGAAGTCAGATCAAATTTAGCATCTGACACAACAAGTCACGAAACTCTGCCGAAGCAACCTTTAAAATCAGTTAAGGAACTTGAAGAATTTGATAGGCTGATTCAAAATAATTCTGTTGCCTTAGAACAATTTGTAATTTTTAAATTTACTAAATTTAATTTCATACTATCGACGTAAATTTTATAAACATCTGATTTTTAACACCACAGAAAACAATTATTGTCCAAAAACTATTAACTAAAATTTTTCTTCTTTGCCAATCATCCAAATCAGTCTTATTTTACAAATAACATTATTGCTGGTCCGTTTTTAATGTTAGCAAAGGAAAGTAAGCCGACGGGGTGGAAAGGATTTTGCAGCAGCCTGTAGAGCAGTAATGTCACTTATTATGACAGATACCTTAGCAAGGGAGTATTCGTGGAAAGGCGTGAAAGGAAACAGAAAATTTGAAGACAAAAATATAGCAGCAACTGTTATAGGTTCGAAATAAGCTTCAAAAGTTTTAGATTTCTAATACAAAAGCTGTTGCAGACTTAGTACATTTCAAATCAGGCAGATCGAATAAATTTGTTCCACTTTCCAATTTTTTTGCAAATAATAATAACAAAATAAATGTTTTTCCTGGTATCTTTTAGATTTTTTTGCATTCTTTTTAATGTTGTTTTAAATTTAAATAATGTTTTAAAATTAACAATGAAAAAGATGATTGTCTATAAATGTAAATAGAATCACAGCACAATATTTTTATTTATCAAAGGTTTTAACTATTTTTTGTCCGATCTTAAATTTCTATAATAATAAATGTCTTTAATATTAAATGTTTTTTAAATATTAAATTTGAAAAGCTTACTCTTAAATCATTTGTGGTGCTACCCAAAAGACAAAAGAATTTCTTGCATTACTTAAAAATAAAAATTATATGTGAAACAAATTTTCAACATTACTTTTTTGTGTTTTATTATTCAAAATTTTAATGTTGACTGTTGATGTTATTCAGTTTACCTAGTTTGAAATTGAATTAATATGCAATAATTCTACAGACAGTAATTTTTTTATTAAAAAACATAATGTTCTTGATTTAACACTTCTTCAGACTCCGAAAAGTAATAAACTTTGATTGAAAAAATAACATTATTTACTTAACTACGAAATACTAAATTATTAATTTAAGAATTCTGGTTAATACTAACAATTACTCGGCCCACAGTGGTCTGAAACCCGAATCTAGGTGGACAAAAGTAAAAAAATCAAAGTCTTCAAATAATTTTTTTTTTGTGAAATTATATTCTATGGTATCTAAACCATACGTTTTTGCTTATATAAACCGATAAAAAAAATTTATGTTGATGTTTAAACTCGTGAAATGCCAAGAGTCACGCATAGCTGGTTTTGTCGTAAAAATCAAAGCTTCAATGAAATGTATGTAGTGACCTTCTAAATCGTTACATTTAGATCAAACGAATATTGGTTTAAAGGTTTGATAAGTAGACTGTAAAATAGTGCAATAAACATTGCTATATTCACAATATTTTTATTTTATAACGCCCTTAAAGGTAAGTGTTGGAGACTTGTACATTACAAAATTCAAATTGACAAAACTTAATTTCCTTAGAATTTCTTAAAAATTTGTTTATGAGGAAATGTTCACTGATAGGTTATCTTTCATATGTGACATACACATCTTGCCCCTTTTTGAGATTTTCATAGTTAAAGCCCTTTGAACATGGTGATTATAATCGTGAAATCGGCTAAACGGAACTCTTTGTGGAAAATTATTTCGATAAATGGTTACACAACTGTATGTTTGATAGTTTTTTTAAGTCGATGATTTTTAATTTGAAGTCAGATTGCAAAAATTCAAAATGGCGGACTCAATATGGCGGACATCAAATTATACAATTTAATGGAATTTGATACAACTTTGTATTTAAAGGTTTTTAGGGTTGCTGATTACAAATCTGAAGTTAGTTTTTAAAAATTCAAAATGGCGGATCCAATATGGCGGACTTCAAAGTTAAAAAATTAATGGATTTCAAGAAAACGCAGATTACGAATCTGAAGTTAGTTTTTGAAAATTCAAAATAAATAAAAGAAAATCTATATCTTCCGGATATGATAAGTGAAATTGGTTGGAGCATATTTGACTATCAATTGGAAAATCAATTACAGTTATTAAGATAAAAAAAAAATTTTTTTTTAAATAAAAATATTTCATCACTTAAATTTTAATTTACTATTTTCTATTATTATTAATTAATAGCAAATAAAAACATTAATCTAAAAAGTAAATAAAATTTTAAAGTAATTTTCCCGAAGTTATAAATAAATATAATTTTTCATTAAAATCCACTAAATTTTTACATTTAACCTTCATCCTTTTTGTATCTGTTATTTTGAATTTTCAAAAACTTATTTCAGATTCGTAATCAGCGACCTCGAAAACCCCTAGATACGAGGTTTTATTAAAATTAATTAATTTTTTAACTTTAACGTCCGCCATATTGGATCCGCCATTTTGAATTTTCAAAAACTAACTTCAGATTCGTAATCAGCGACCTCGAAAACCCCTACATACGATGTTTTATTAAAATCATTAATTTTTCAACTTTATCGTCCGCCATATTGGATCCGCTATTTTGAATTTTTAAAAACTAACTTCAGATTCGTAATCAGCGACCTCGAAAACCCCTAGATACGATGTTTTATTGAAATTCGTTAATTTTTTAACTTTATCGTCCGCCATATTGGATCCGCCATTTTGAATTTTTAAAAACTAACTTCAGATTCGTGATCAGCGACCTCGAAAACCCCCGAGTAACGAATTTCAGCTCAATGAATTAAAGCATTTTTGAGAAAATAGTTTTGTCCACCTAGATTCGGGTTTCAGACCACTGTGCGGCCCAAGAAAATAAGTTTCTTTCTTTAAATAAACTCAAAAAAAAATTTTTTTGCAAACAACGAAATTCTAGTTGAATCAACCAATTTTCTTTCGTAGGAGAAATTCTGAAAAGTTTTCCAACAACCACGGAAAGTGCGATTGAAGGAGTTATTGCGGATTGGTTCAGGAGGACTGGAGATCGAATTAAACGAAACATTTCAAAAGGTGGACGTGCTTAATAACTGGACGAAACAGCCTTATTTGCGTATTACTTTGTTCTTAATAAAAAAATTAAAAATCAAAAGTTTGTAGTAAGAGAAATACTATTTTAATAAACAAAAAGTCACTGAAATTTGAACCCATCTTCTTTTTAACTTATTACAGTGGAACTTCGATTATTTGAACCCTCCATTATCCAAACTGTAAATCAATTTGTCCGAACTTTTTCGTCATCTTAAACAAAAACTTTCAATTTTTACACCTATTGGTACAAAAATCTCATAAAAATAAAGAAATTTTAGTGATTATTCGGTGAATTTTAATGTAATTTCCTCAAAGAAGACTCTTAATAAAAGATGTCTCTTAAATGAAAACATTATTCGCGAGAGCGTTTATAAAATACGTAACTCACGAAAACAAATAGAAAACATGCTCATTTAAAGTGACAGCTTTTGAAGGCTATGTTACAATTTGTAATATTTATTATTTTTAAAGTGTAAACAAATCGCAAAAATAGAAGTTAACAAAATTGTTTTATTAAAGCTAAATTAACTTTAAATAAAAAAATTCTTTGTTTGGCATTTTATATTGGCTTCAATTAAATAGTAAAATTTTGAAAAATTTGCCTAAACACTATTTCATATGAATAACGCTTTTTCTATTTTTTTCTTGAGTTATGTGTTTTATAATTTCTCTCGCGAATAATGTGTTTTCATTTAGGAGCCGTCGAAATGCCATTGAATAGTGTAAAAACATTTTAAAACAATCATTTATCTATAAATATAAACAAAAATAATTGCAATTTATATCATCCGAACCAGATCATGCCTATAAATTAGTTCGGATAATCCAGATATTTAAAAAATTCGGGAATTTGGTTTTTAAAATTTTTTTAGACCTGGAAAACCTGGGAAAATTAGAATTGTCAGGGAATTTTATAAAGTCTTATTCAGAAAATTCAATTTTTTTAATTTGAATATTAAAAATCTCAAGTTTTCAAGTTCACATTGTACAACATTAGTGCTTACATTTAAAATCAATGTAGCATTTCCAAAATTTTAGCTTCTTCAAGTCAATATTTTCCTTTGAGTAAATTTTAAATCAATATTTTTAAATGCATTTTAGAAAAACCAAAAATGTTATTAAAATGTTTAAAATACTCGATTAATTGTAAAAATTCTAAGCAAAACTAAATTTTAAAATTCCTATTATTTTTCTGTTTATTTTTTCATCTACTTTAAAATAGGTAAAAGGGTACCTTAGAAGCAAAAAATTGTACGTTATTGTTCATAATTTTTAGAATGAAATCTTCATTAAATCTTTATTACAGCTAAAATTAATTATTTATTTATTCATTACTTAAATTTTAATTACTCATAAAATTAAAAATTAATAACTTATGTTATTAATAATTTACTTGAAGAATTTTATATTTTTTTGTCGTAAAATTAGATAAAAATTTATCAAAAAAATGTTAATTGTGAGTCTCGAATTTTTTAAAAAGTGGTCTGAAAAACCTGGAAAAGTCATGGAATTTTAAAATCCATCTTCTGTGGCAATTCTGAAACATTTTTAGTGTATGTAATTATCTCTTATTTTTATTCTGCTCAACAACATAAAACAAAAAGCTTTATTATAAATATTTCTAGTATCTGTAATTGTGTCGAATTTTTTATTTTCGTTAATGCTGGAATCTTATTTCTCGGAGGAAAAATTTCTAAGTTCTATGTCCAAAAGATGTCCCTAGGACGTCCCGGGGACGTCAATTGGACATTATACACAGTAATTTTCCAGTTAAGCTTTTTCATACTAAATAAAAGGATTTTCAAACAAACTGTCGGTAATAAAGCAGAAAGCTTTTTTTGTAAATCCTTTGAGTTTTTTGTAATTACATCGAGTTTGTCATTTTCCTTAAAAGTTAAAACTGGAATCTCATTTCTCGGAGGAAAAATTTCTAAGTTCTATGTCCAAAAGACGTCCCTAGGACGTCCCGGGGACGTCAAATGGACATTATATACGGTAATTTTTCAGGTGGTCTTTCTCGTCCTAAATAAAAGGTTTTTCAAACAAATAGTCGCTAATAAAGCAAAAAGTTTTTTTGTAAACCTTTTTAGTGTCCGCAATTATCCGAAAATTGTCATTCTGATCAATATTGCATTCCAATTTGCACGTAATATTACAGTCATTTAAAAATGGCCGCCTAATTCTAAAAAATTCGAAAATCGACATCTCTATAAGGCTTCCCTCAAGAGGAAGCAAAATGAATAGATTGTTTCAAAGTTACGAATCTAAAATCACTTTTTAGAAATTCGAAATGTCGGATCCAATATGGAGGACAAATTATCATATTTGATTAGATTAAACATTGAAGAATAAGTTTTTACAATTAAAAAGTTTCATTATAAATATTTTATTATAGAAATAAATACTAAAAGTAGGCAGTTTTTTAGAAACGCGCCAAAAATTAGATTTTTAAAAAATAGTAGTTTTTGTAATTTTTAACTAATATTTTACATTTCCCTACTAAAAATAAAATCAGGAATGGTCAGACAAATGGTCAGGCCGCCTGACCACTTTAATCCACTTTTCTTACGATTCTGGATGGATCTCGTCAGAAATCTATCACAACTGATCAGGAGGAAGTTTAAAGTGGTCACAAGTTTGCTACTATCCCCTCCTCTTTGTTGACCCCGCCCATAATTGGTGACTATTTGAGACCATTTGTATCTCATTTTTGACCATATTTTTAAGCCACTTCTGTTTTATTTATTTAAACAATATGCAAAAAGTTGCAACAAATTAATTTTAAAAAATATATTTTATTAATTAATATCAGTTTGTTTACATACGGAACAACTTGAAACTAATTCCCGGAATTAAATTAAAATTTGGACCCTACGGGGATCGAACCCCGACGCATGACCTAACCTAGTGCCTAAACTAACTGCCCTAACGACTGCGACTACCGAACCGACTTACATATTTCTGGATTCAACTGTCTATATAAAGAGCAACTGTAAAATAGTAAAATTCAATTACCAATATTATCAATAAATCAGAATAAACTGTTAAATAATTTTTATTAATTAATTATATTTCAATTTAGTCATAATAGGTTATGTGAATTAATAAAAATTAACATTATTATTTGAATCAATAATAAATTAAGTCTTAACTTTACAATTTGGAATGTTTCATAAACTATAATACGAATACAGATTAATAATAATTATTATTATATCTGCATTTAAAATGAATTTAGTATTTAATATTAATTTAATTTAACATTATAATTTATAATAATAATGAATTATTAATGCAATATTGAAATTTTTATAAATTTTAAATTTAAATTATTAATAATTATTATAGTAAGAAATTATTCTATTAATGATTAATAATAATTTAAATATAACTGTATTTCAATTATAATGCAAATACTTCTCATAATAAGTACTGACTGGTATAGTAAATTACTAATATTATGAAACAAAATTTATTATTAATTAACTATATTAAATAATTACAAGTAAATATACATAATATATTAAATTAATATATTATAAATATACATTAAATAAATATATTAAATAATGTTAAAAGAATGGTCCGAATGTTTTGATTTATTTACCTACTTTTGGTGTATAATTAATTCGATAATTATTATACCAATTTGAAAAATGAGAACTTTTGTTAATAGCACAGCCACACAAAAAAAAAAAAAAAGTTCTGATCTGGGGGTCTCACTATGTAGACTTTATGTTTTTTGGGTCGCTGAATCCGAATCCGAGGTCCATTTAACCCCATCAGATCAGGATTTTGACATAACCTCAAAAAACTAATATGGCGGACACATTTTTGAAAAGTTCATCGGATTCGCTTGAAATTCGTTACTCGGGGGTTTTTGGGGTCGCTGATTACGAATTTGAAGTCTGATTTCAAAAATTCAAAATGGCGGATCCAATATGGCGGACAAGTTTTTGAAAAATTCATCGGATTCGCTTGAAATTCGTTACTCTGGGGTTTTTGGGGTCGCTGATTACGAAATTGATGTCGGTTTTTCAAAATTTTGAATTTGAAAAAATTTTGAAAAAAAAAAAAAAATTTGAATTTTGAAAAACCGACATCATTTTCGTAATCAGCGACCCCAAAAACCCCAGAGTAACGAATTTTAAGCGAATCCGATGAATTTTTCAAAAACTTGTCCGCCATATTGGATCCGCCATTTTGAATTTTTGAAATCAGACTTCAAATTCGTAATCAGCGACCCCAAAAACCCCCGAGTAACGAATTTCAAGCGAATCCGATGAACTTTTCAAAAATGTGTCCGCCATATTGGTTTTTTGAGGTTATGTCAAAATCCTGATCTGATGGGGTTAAATGGACCTCGGATTCGGATTCAGCGACCCAAAAAACATAAAGTCTACATAGTGAGACCCCCAGATCAGAACTTTTTTTTTTTTTTGTGTGGCTGTGTAGTTAAAAGAACAATTTTTATAATAGAATAATGTATTCTGAAATGTAAAAAATAAATTTGAAAGATTTTATATGTATATATAAATTTTCATGAGACTTTACCAAAATTAGAAAGATGTACCAAAATTTTTATAGGTTATGTGTTCACACATTTTAGAAATAGTCAAGAAAATGGTCACAGCTTCGAAAATGGTGGGAGTAAAGTGGGAGGAGCTTGGAAAGTATTTGGTTAGGAATGGTGAGAAACGTTCGAAAACGTCAGAAGTGGTGAGACTGTTCAGGAATGTTCAGAAATTCTGACCATTCATGACGATTCCTGATTTTATTTTTAGTAGGGTTGTACTTTTGAATAGTGGTACAATAAAATTAAAATATATTTTATGCTGCAGTTTTTAAAAAAAGCATTATAATTATTATATCCTAAGACAATTACTTTTATGTGATCACTGATTACGAATCTGAAATCACTTTTTAGAAATAAAAAATAGTTGATCTAATATAGCTGAAAAAATGTCAAAATTTAATGCAATTCGCTTGAAAAGTGTACCCAATAATAAT